GTTACTTTTTCGTTGAAAGCGCCATTTCTTACGAATTTTTAGTTAAAATAATTGACTTGATGACGTAGTCTCTTAGGCATGGGATTACTATGCTAAATGTGACCATCCGAAAACAAGTTACTAGGCTGCTTTGTGCGAGCAATTGGTTGCATTCTTCGTTCGATTTTTGATAAACTATTTGTTGAACTCTAAATTCATCATTTTTTTTTAAAGTAGCTAATTTACTTCGTTTTTAAGGGAATTCAATTCTAGATATTGAGGATTAAAAGGTGAGGAAATTAGATATTGTTGGACGAAAGTTAGAAGGTAAAGGAAAGATTGAGCAGCTTCACCTCTTTAAAATCTTGAGCTAGTTTAGTCGGTGTTGACCTCACAAATTGGACCCTTCACGTGGCCAACCGATAGCTGCTCCACGTAATCCTCCTTGCGCACAGTCAACGCACGGTCAGATGCACACGTTCGGAACCAGCGGGGGTGGCGGTAGTCACATACACTCCGACAATCAAGTTAGCTTCTGGTGATCGGAACAGTACCAATATTGTGCAAAAAGGGTGGGGAGGAAAATGTATATTTACTTGTTATGGAGAGCTAAGTTATAAGAGTTTTATTACATTTGTCTCTTGTTAAACCTCGGGTATTTATAGTTGAGAAGAACCGTTAGATGTGAGACACATGTATGTATCTGACGGTGTGAGGCGTCTGTTCATAGACGTCAATCAGCAGCGTCTATAGAGTGGGCGGGTAATAACTTCTCCCGAGTTGAGTTGACATAAAGTTGATACGTCACATCAACTAGGTCCATGGAAACGTCAAATCAATTAAACCTTGGGCAGAAAGGATCTTGACATAGATCTCTTTCTGAAATTGGTGGCATATCCTTTGACAGAGATCGTCGGAGTGCATTGCGCTTCGGTGTCAGAGGCAAGAACGCTTCGATTGGTTCAGTAGAATTGTTTGTGCCTCGTAGCGCGTTAGCAGCTTGCCAACATTAGTGGCGGAATCACTTCGAAACCATTTCGGATGGGTGTTGGACACCTCGTATGACACAGTGGCAGACTTTTCGAAGTGGTTTAAATAGGGACGTAACAGTCGGTACAACAATGTATTTTTATCCTAATTCAATCGTACAATCGAATTAGAATCTTGATAAGATTTTATTCCGAAGATTATCTTCTTTTTCGTTTTTTCAAGCTTCTTCTCTGCCAGTGACTGCAAAACAAGTAAGTTAAAAATAAAGTTGTCGAAGAAATAGATTAAGAACGATATAGGAATTTTATCAATAGAGACAAACAATGCAAATTCCCTTTTGTATTATTTAATACTTTTATTTAGTAGCTTTCACATGCTAAAATGAATATGGATAAGAACCACCACATACATACATGAAATGATTGATGGTAGTTCACACCTAAAAAAACTTTACGGTTTAATTAAAAGACATGGTTCGGACATGCTCGTTTGTCTTACATTGTTGTTTGGTAGTGGGAAATAATTTATTGCAGGATTCCAATTTAATGAATGGGTTAAAGGCTTGTTTGGGCGGGTGCTCAACTTATAGGTGTGTTTTACTTTAGCCATCAAAATTAATTCTGTTTCGAAATCAGTTCTAAACTTTTAGTATCTTACCTTGTTAGTCACTATAATCAATTTCGTCTTTAAAATCTAATGGAAATCTTTTATGGAATAATTTCCAAAAATTAAATTGGAATGGAACTTTCGGGTGGCACATAAACTTGGGTTTTAAGAACTTCAATCCCAAGTATTTGATTTTTTGAGCATGTTTGATAGGGATTAAAATTAGATTTTAAGTAGATTATGATAGAAATATTTAAAACGTATGATTGAAAAGTTGCGAGATCCATGAAAAATGTAGTTAATATTGATTGTTTGATTTTGAATTAAATTAAAATCAGATTTTAATTTGTACTAAACGGGCTCTTTAATTTAATGGGCCACAAATAGGGATTTATTTTATTATTATTATTATTTTTTTGTGGGGAAATTGTAAAATTGAGCATTCAACGGTAGCAATTTATTCCATTTAATGTCTGAAGTTATTCTACATAGATATATGGTTGGTGACATGCAAGTTTCTTTAGCCCTCATTTGGCCTCCCATTCTATCCATATTTTAATGGTTGAAATAGTAATTTTTTTAAAAATTGTGTTTGAAAAGGAATGAAAAGTTTTTGATTTACGTATAATATTATTTTATGAAAAATTATGTGATTGAAAATAAGAGAGAGAGAAAATGAAAATGAGAATAAGGACCAAACGGGACTTTAATTTTCATAAATAAAGTTGAGTAGAGTACTACTGACCGTGTAAGAAATTGAAAGTTCAGTCATAAGGCCCTGTTTGTCTCACATATTTTTAAAAAATATATATTTTTAAACAGTGTTTGACAATATTTCAATCATACATTTTTCAATCAAATAATATTATACGCAAATCCATAACTTTTTCTTATTTTTTAATCACATATTTTCTATCAATAAAATATTCAAAAATATATTTTTATGGAAAATAATGTAGCTCAAACAAGAGCTATTTCATTTAAAAATAGCGCTCAGTTACCAAGCAGAGCATGTCAAAAACTTATGTGCTACCAAACAGGTTTCAAACCCTTAACCCACAGAATTTAAAGGGAATGTATTGGCACAGATGCTTTTAGAATTATGAGATTCAATGATGAGATATTTGATTTAATTGGTATAATTATTTGATATATGTTTAATATTTAATTACTTGGCCCTCTCAACCTGTAGAATTCTTCTTTTTTTATTTGTAAACATCATGAGATTTATGCATGTACACGTAAACAATATTAACATTTGTTGCACTATTATGTTAGAAAATGTTTCTTGTACATGACCATTTATATAATGTGTTACATAATGATAATGTGTGAAAATGTAACTGGGTAAGTTATTTGATTGATAAGATTTTGATCCAATAAATTCTGTCACATCATCTATTGGTAGACCATCATGTAAATTGTTATGGACACATACAATTCTATTATTTTTGTTAGGATTCAGCTACACGTACACGGGGTGAACACTACAGTAATGGGCTGAGCCGTGTAGTAATGGGCCGAGCCGGCCATGAAAGGGCGAGCTTGGCTCGGCCCACGAGCTCGCGGCTGGTGGGTAGCTTGTGGGCCGAGTCGAGCCTGGCTCGCGAGTAGACGTCATTTTTCATTTTTTTTTTGGAGAACAAATAAGTAATTTGAAAAATAAAAAAGTAAATTTTTTTAACTAAAAGAGATAGAAAAAATAAATATGAAAGCTTTATTTTTTTTTAATTTTCTTATTAAACTAGATAAAATATAAACCCTCCTCCTTTATCCGGGTTTGGGACCGGCTACTTAAATTTTCAGTAGGCAGAGTTAAAAATTGTACACGAATAATTTTTTGTAGCTTGTACAATTTTTTAAAGAATATTAAAAGTAACGATAAGAAAAGAATAGAAAAGTTTCATCGATATAATTAAATCAAATATCACTTACTTGACGAAATGCAATTTCGGCATGTTTATTTTGTAGTCGAAAATGAGCGTCCTGCCAATTCTTAACGCACATTAACGCTTCTAAAATATCTTCTTTCAGTCGGCTCCTGACCTCGCTCAAAACTCTTTTAACTGCACTAAAAGCAGACTCTGAAGCAACAGTGCTAACCGAAGGTGTCAGCAGATCTTTTGCAATAGCAGATATAACTGGCCAACGTCGTTCATACCTTCGTCAAAATTCAATTATTTCGTCTGAACTTTTTTTAATTGTTTTATCTGTTAGCATATTCTGGTTAAAATAATCAATTAATTCAGCAGGCAATGCATTATGGCTTGAGCCCGTAGATGTATGATGAGAATGAGATACAGATGGTGATGACATGGCAGTGGCAGTGGTAGTAGATGGACACATTGCAGATGAATCAAATCTATACGAATTAATGCCTTGAAATAAATTAAATATTTCTGCATCTTCTTCTTCAATTTCAGTGGAAAGAGTAGGTGCAGATGGTACCCGACTAATATTGGTACCCATTCGGTTCGCATATAATTCATACATTTCACATAATGTTTACTCTAAATTTCTATATGTGATAGGTGTATCAAATGTTAAGGCGTTTGAAATTTGATCAATTATATATTTAGTTCCCGATAAATTATATTGGGGGTCCATCACGCATGCTAAGGGAAATAACACAGGCAAATCTTCCCAATATTTTCTAAATTTTAATTCCATAGCAACTATAATTTCACTAAAATCATGGTCATTTCTGTATTTATGAAATGTTCTTGCAATTATATAAAGATGTTCAAACACCATACAGTTGGTGGGATAGTAAACGCCCGATAAAATCTTAGTGATTTTATACAAAGATGTCAAAAAAATTTTAACTTTCAAAACTAAATACCAATCACGTTCAATCAACATACCCTCATCATCACTTCTAACATATCTATTGTTATAAAAGTCAGTTACTAAATGT